GTTTATTGCTAATTTCTTATGCCACTATGAATCTATGATTTATTTAACAAATTTCCACCCAGCAAATAAAACAACATTTGTTCTACCTGGAGGGTAGTTTCCAAATATCACAGCACAGCCAGGCAAGGCACGAAAACAGCGGTCAGAAATGATGAACGGAGTGTCTGACTTCAGATAGGAGCACAGAAGTGGGTGTGAGCAATGTCAATCGATCAACATCCTGAGTTGGAAGGATGCACGTCATCAAGTCCAGCTCTCAGAGTCCAGCTCCAACACAGAGTACTGCATCTTCAGCTGTGATTCTCCTGGGAGTCATCGTGAAGCCGTTGCATCTTCAGCTACATCTTCTTTGCATCATTTACATATGTTGACATAGAGAACAGTGCCAGATGTTTTCTGTACCAAAACAAGGAGCAAGCTGTAATGAGCCAATGCTGCAAGAGGGACACGCAGGTTTGAAGCAAACAAACAGCGACCTTGAACTTCCATCTGAGCTTCACGTTAGAAGAAAATCCACCTTAATATGGCTGTGCTTCTCCAAACAAAGCTTGAAAAACTTCTATTTATTTGCTATGGTTACTTATTCCCTTCTCCAGGTTAAACTCTCCATCCTCAGACTTTTGGGTTCTTCTGTTGCAATCGAGCACCCAGCACAGCTCCCCGGCAGCAGAGAACCCTTCTGTGTGTTCTCTCTGATAAGGAATAGGAATCTCCAGGAGTGAAAGTGATGCAGAAGGCCACAATGTGCCTTTCTCTGCCAGTTAAGTTCAGTTGCTGCCTTTTGAGACGTCACAGTCGGTAATAAAATATATTCCCTATACTCTGAGCTCAGGAAAGAAGTTTTCCCCAAACAAACACACCTGAAAGGAAATTTGTTTGGGTTTTATTTACTTTGGGTTATTGAAGTGGCAAGTGTGTGCTGTCCATGCAGTGCAGCGGATTAAAAGGCTCCAACAACAGAACCCAGACCCCAGTGGGTGCTTAACATCCACCACCAGCAAATCCATTTCTCTCCCTCTGTGTTTGCTTTGTGGCAGGTAGACACAGAGAGCGATGGCAGCGGGTTCTGAATGGCATCTGAAGAGCTGAGACATCCTTCCCTGCCCAGGGCTTAAAACAGAGTGAGGCAAGAAAATATCCAGTTATTGGTGTTTGCAGGATTTCTTCTTGATGTCATATTTTAAACGTATAAAATATTTAACCTAGGCAAATGTAGTTGAATCATAATAGGATTCTCAAGCTTGTAGGGAAAAAGGTTGATTATTTGCTCTCAAAAGGCCGATTATTTACTCTCTGCTGTGTAAATAACTGCACAAGAGCAAGAAAACATCTGTCCTCCTCTGCTCTTCTCTTGCATCCTCTTCACACTCAGCATAAAATTGAATAGATGGGAGGAGAGCGCAGTGAAACTGCAGTGGGGTTGGTTCAGATTGGGTTCTGAGCATCTGATGGAGCTGTGGATGTCCCTGCTCATTGCAGGGGAGTGGGACCAGCTGGGTCTTTTCCAACACCAGGTGATTCTGTGATGGCTTGCAGCACCCTGAGATGGTGCTTCTTTGCCGTGCTGCTGGGGTTGCTCTGTAGAGCTTCATTTCTCTGCCCTTGGTTCATCAGAAATGCTGTCCCTGATTACGTGAGGGATGTAGCAGGTGATGGAGGTCTGTTTGTGGCTGTGGTATCAGACATTCGTTACTGTTTGATTGTGCTCACAGAAGGATTACTCACCATATTTATAAGGGAATTATGATGTAATTAGTCTGTCTCGGGAGAAGTAAATGTACATTTCCTTGGGCTAAACCTTACCTAAATGGACTTCTTCTTCCTGACCTATGTCTGGTGCTGGCAGAGGGGAGGGCAGGGGGAGCAGAGAGGCCCATTGCCCAGCCGTGGCAGTGCGTGGGGACCAGACCCTTTTGGCCTCCCCAAAAGCAGAGCTAAGCAGCTCCTAAAGAGCTCTGGATGCTGTCGCTTTTCTCCTGCTATTGCTCTCAGGCTGCTTTAAACCTCAAGCTCTGCTCCCAGAGCTCAGCGGCCCCCTGGGATTCCTCTGCAAGTGATGGGATCTCAGAGCGAGCGGTCCTGATCCATCAGCTCAGTGCCTGTTTTGTAACAGCCGTCCGCACAATGACACACATCACAGCACAAGCAAGGCTTTCTGTTTATAAAACAGTCAATAGCGTTTGTGAAGAATTATTTTTTCCCAAGGACACCTTTCATTTCAGCCTCCGAGGGAGCTGGGAATAAATTGTTCCTTACCATCAGCGCTGACCTCGCATGTTTAAAATGTGGGCGTCTTCTGAACAAAAAAACACCATTTGCTAAATGAAGCAAAACACCATAATAGGTTTAATGATGTAGATTTATCTCCTAACAGTTGTTTTGAGATCACAACAAATCATTAAAATCATTAACTCTCCGAGCTAAATTAGATTACAGATCTTGGAGAATGTCTGGCCACTGCGTTTGCAAGCAGCGCCTCGGCCTGCCTGCGCGCGTCATTAATTCTGCTCAGATTCCTCTGCAGACAATGAACCAATTCAGCATATTCCAAGTCAGATGAAACAAAAAGAAGCCAACATCTTTGTGTGTGTCCATGTTTTGTTTCTTCTCCCAGCTTGTTTCCAGCAGCGGAAGATATTTCCCCGGTATGGGCAGAATAGAATGCGGTTGTTGGGGAACGTTGTCTCCGCTATCACAAAGCTGCACTTATCTGTTGGAAAGCCAGGGAGTGTGGTCCCAGATCTGAACCGTGTAATTAAGAGGCACTTAAAGCTACAAGCCTCGCATAGCAGCCCATTTATATCGCACCTATCAGTGGCGGAGTTCCTGCCATAAAGTGCAGCTTTAAGCATAAGATAAATGAACAGACGTGGAGGGTGTGGGAAGTCCATGGCCGGTGCTGCTGTGTGGGCTGATTGCTCAGCGCCATCCCTTCCCACATAGAGCAAAAGCAATCTCGTGTTCGAGCAGAGCCTGCCTTTGTAGGAATGTGAGCTTGCTCAGGGTTTCCTTTTGCCCCTGTGCCCTTGTGGTGCAGTTCGTAGAGGCTGTGCTGGCTGTGTTTTGGCATGGATTTGGCTGTAAAAAGGAATGTGTACGCTCCAAAAGAAGGAAAGGTGGAAATTGGGCACATATGTACCAACACACACTGCTGCTCTCTAAGAACATTGGGAAGGTTACCCTGACCCTCAGCTGAGGTTAGAGAGAGTGCAGTGAAAAGAAGCTCTTGTGCCATACAGCCCATAGGGTGCCTAAAGGATGCCTGAAGGGGAAGGAGCACTGTGTTCTCTGTCCTGTTCCTTGCAGGAGCTTTGCATGCCCTTGTTTGTATGTGAGGTTCTTTTCACATCCTAAAGGTAGTGTGGGAGGCTGAGCCTTCATTCCTGTCTTTCTGAAACCATTTTTAGTATCTTTATCTTTTTTTCCCTCACATTTTAGAATTGATTCTTCATCCCCCATACACCTTGATGCTTATTTTCTCCTCTCCGCCCCCTCCTCCGAGCCTCCCTTCCGCACTCTGCCTGGTGAGATGGTTTATTCTTTGATTCTGTGTAGCCCTTAGCAGATTTCACCCTTATTGCCACCTGTGAAGAGTTTCACACTTATTAGAAAGGGTATAATTTGGGATATGTGAAAAGATAAAAAGAAAGAAAGAAAGAAAGAAAGGGGAAAAAAAAAAAAAGAACGACAAACAAACCAAAGAAACAAAAAGTGTATTATTTTAAGTGAAGTAAGAGGGAAATGGATTTAAAGGGAAATGAGCCTTGCTGAGCACTGGGCAGGCTCAGCAGGACAAGGATGAGCACCTCCTGACGCCGTCTCCCCTGTATGGGTGCTCATGGGATGAGCTCCATCCCTCTCCTACCCAAACTATCCCCTATTGCTGGCTCTGCAGCTGGGTGAGCTGTGCTGCTCCGCTGCAGGAGGGCTTTGTGCGTCTCTTTGTTTCACATTTGCACCAAATGCCAAAATACCAGGAGAAAAGTTGCCTCCAGCAATTTTTTTGGAGCTAGAAGGGGAGCATTCTAGCTCTTGACATCTTGGCAGGGGTTCTCAGAGCCCATATGTCAGATCCAGAGAAGCAGTTCACATTAATTTTAAATGTAAATCTTAGACCTTTGCTAGGCAACTACGTCTCTCATTGCAATTCTACCCACATTTTACTCCAAATAGGCTTGACAATAGCACACTGAAATCTGAGTGCTTCAGCAAAACAGAATCACACCCTTTTGATTGAACATCCATCCTTGTTCTATTTGTTCACTGGCAATTAAAATAAGCATGAAATGTGCTTGGGCATGCTCTTGGTCTCATGCTCATTTTAAATATTAACTCCAAGTCTTCGTTGCTATTATTTAGTAATAATGTTTATTATTGGTAAGGCTGTACTACCTGGGGGCCAATCTTTTATTATTCAGTATAAGCATGCATCAGGAACAGCGCTTCCCAGAAGCACTGCTGATCTAATTGAACACTACCATGGGCCAACAGATAGCTTAAAAATGTTTCCTATATAAAACAGCCCAGCCACTATACCAAAATCCTTTCTGTTTGACATCAGTATAAAAAAAGCAGCAGCTCTCCATCTCCTGCTCAGTGCGTCCAGCTATTTTTGCTTCTTGCCACGGGTTTCATTTTGTTTGATAGGAAAACATGGGACTATTTTCCCTCCTGTTTCCAGCACTTTGCTCCTGGAGGCCGCATTAGAAGCAATGAGGGCAGCAGTGCCTGGAGATCTGTGCTGACTGCAGTGCCTGTGGCACCTGTGCCAGCTCCATTCCTCTCCTCCAGGATGTGACACGACTGCCACTGAAGCCACAACTTACTCAAAGCCCGCTGCTCAGCTGCTTGCTTTCTACCCAGACTCTTCCAGCAGGCTGTTCTTGCCCACAGTACCCAACTAATTACAGAGCAAATATATGTTTGAGTTGCCAAAGCATGTGAAATTGCCCCTGTGAGCTTCAGCAGGATGTGAAGTTACCATCTTTCTCCTGTTACAGGTGATGGTTTCTGCGGCATGGAGGCAGTGGGGCAGCTGAGCTCCTGTCTGCAAGTAAGTGAAGAACTTTTTGCTGGCCCTTTGCAATAGCAGCGTTCCAGATGCATTGTTTTACTGATGGAATGTGTGCTGTCTGGGTGCAGGCCTTCTTCCACCATCTCTGTGTTAAACACGTGGCACTCAGCGATGGGTGGGTTAGAATTGCTTACAGGATGATTCAATTTCATGCTGACATGTAGCAGTTGGATGTGAAGCCAGGATAGCAGGGGTAGTGTGAATGTGGAAAGCAGAGCTTCCAAGTGTTCCTTTCTCCCACTATTGCCTCCACAAAGCATCATGGCAGACCAGCATGTCACAACACAACACTGCGCGGCAGCCAGCAGTTTCCATTCACTCCAACGAGTGAGAAGTACGTTTTTCCTCCCTGCTTCCTGCTGCTTTTGGGTGAGTTTGCATCTTTCTTCCGGAGAACGAAGAACTCCGGGTTTCGGGATTTTGGTTGTTGAGAATGGCTGCTGTCACAGTTGTGCTCTCACAGTAATTCTCCAGGTGCCAGTGCCCCTGCTGCCGTGTTCCCTTTGCTCCCAGTTTGCTTATATTCAGGAGGCTGAAACTGGGTGTGAGGCTGAAGGGGAAGCAGGGATGGGAACATGCAGGAGCTCAGCAAAAAGGAGGGCAGGGAAAAGTGGTGCTGAGAAATCTCCTCAGAGGGGAGCAATCAACAGAAATGCTTTCTCTTCTATTTTATTTTAACCCGAGACATTAACGCTTTTAACAAGTGAAAGTAGCCATTACTTTAATACATGTGCACTGGCTGTGGGCTCGGATAGCCCTGCTAAATTTGGAGATATGGCAGGGCTATTCAGAGCAGCTTAATTTTTGCAGACTCCTTTGGAAAGCCTGGGCTTTTTAAAGCATGTGGTAAAATTCCCTTTTGCTTCACTGCGGCCAGATATCACTGTCTGCTTTTATCTCTCTTACAGAATTTTAGCATAAAGCTCTGAGAGAATTGTGAAGTCATCTACTGGGTTACTTTCTAGCATTTTCCATGCAATGGAATGTAATGGGGATGGAGTGGGGAACTTCTGCTTAAGCAATGGAGGTGCATTATGCCCCATTTTTGCAGTTCCATATTTACTGCCATTAATTTTTGTCCTGTATTCGTCCTTGTTCCCTGGTTGGCTTGTGCTGGTCTTGCAGCATCGTGGCTTGTGTTTAGGAACGAGACATGTCGTGACACACTGAAGAAAGAAAGATGCTTTGCTTCTGTTTCTGTTTTCTTATTTTCACCAGCAAAACTTTGTAATTATGTACAACCTCCCCTTTGTGTATATTCAGTTGTAGACTGGTGCATTCCTAAGTCACCTAATGAGGGTGCTGTTGCCCAAACAAGGTAGAAGTATTTCCTTCCCTCAGCCTGACCTTTAGTGATAAGATATTGTCTTTGTGCCTGGGCTGAGGCTGACACAAGGTGATATCCAGCACCAGTTCAAGACTAGCAGATGATAATGGAATAGGGAGTCTGGAAAGAACGGAACTTGTGATATGGGGGCAGAATCAGCCTGAAACCCATTGCTCTGATTCAGCTTTTGCACTTTGCAGCTGTGTGACCCCAGTGGGAGGGCACCAAGGACCGGGATGGTCTCTGCTGCAGCTTCACGTGCCTTTAATCAGGCTTTGGCCCAGCACAGAGCTGCAGCTCTTTGTGCGATGAGATTCAGAAGCAGTTTGGGGCAGCGATGTACAGGTGAGAACAAGGGTTCCATGGGCAGAGGACTCTGCAGTGTCTCAGTGCTGGGTCAGTGCAGCAGCATCAGCTGTGCTGTCATCCCAGCAAACACCCAGGGACAGCAACGTGAGTACAGAGACAGCTTGTCGGATGGGTTATTAAATGAAGTCAGCTCGTGATTCAGGCTGGTTATTGTAATAGATAAGGAACGTCGGGTTATCTTTCTCAGTTACCTTGAGTCATGAATTGGCACGAAACAAAGCTTACTGGAAAATGCAGATTTTCTGCCATTTGTGAAAATTAACTCCTCTAATTAACTTACACATATAAATGCACTTAGAATGAAGACATTAAGTTGATTATCTAGAAAATTGCTACCTTGGTAGACTCCCTAATGCCACCTCTATGCCAAGAATTAAATGGCTCTGGTGGCATTGCTGTATCACCTCAACTGAATGCTTGCTGATGGAAGACACCACTTCCCTTTTTGGATAAATTTAACCTTTAATTCCAGAGAGTGGCAGCAACAGATCCCACTGGGTTTGCTTGCTCTAACCTGTCAGAGAATGTCTCTTGGAAAATCCCTTCCCATTCTCTGTTTTTTTTCCCCTGTTTATTTGCTTGTTTCCAAATCAACACAGTTCAGTAATGCTGGCTGGCATTTTAGGTATTCTGTAGTTTAGATTTAGATTCTTGTGTCACACAGGTGTATCTGAAATTGCAACTTCACCACTCAAATGAGGTATTTCAAATGTAGACGGTAACATGTAGAACAAGCCCTGGTTGCATCTACAGCCTGCATTCCTCCAATGGGCATTCTTTGCCCTTGTATTCAAATGGAAACACCTTAAAAAACAGCTGGGCTGTCAGAGCCAAAAGGCCCACACAAGAGCATTTAAGGAACAGCACCTTCCCCAGCCAGTAATGTACCATTTATTGACCTTGACAGCATCCACATCATATTTTTCAGTGTTGGCAGGCAGCAATGTGCAGCCACGGTAACAGAGTCCACCTTTTAGCTTCAGCACGGAGCAAGGGCCAAATTTCCACTCTCAGCTATTAACAAATTACAGGCATACTTTGGCTTCATTATGAAATTCACTGTTAGAGCTACGACAGGAGAAGAATGACAGCGACGGCAGTTCCAAACCCATTCATAGACTTCCTCTGGTCTCAGATGATTCTGATGGCTCATTCTGCATCGTGGGGCAGGCTGTGTGTGTGTGTGTGTGTGTGTGTGCTTGTGTGTGCATGCTGGAAAGCAGAACCCAGCCCTGACAGCATGGCACTGCTCCATATAATTCAGGGACCGATGCTTTCTTCCAGTGCTTGGTCCAGTCATAAACTCTATGGCTGCACTCTTTGAAGAAACACAATTGCACCCTCTTTCTTTAAAGAGCAAAGAGAACCTTGTTGAAATGCTTTTCGGTTGTGTTCCGGGGGAGATCCCACTGGCTGTAACATATCGTGGTGTCGGGGACTCTCAGACTGAGAAACTTCAGGAATGTGCAACCTAGAATGGCCTGCTTTTGCATTTTTGCTTGACAGTGAAGAAGCTGTGTGACACTGCCTGAGACGATGGCCTTGAAAACCAAGCAGTCCCTCCCCCCCCTCTGCCCAGATACTCCTGATTTTTGCTTTGGAGTAAGACTTGCTCAGAGTGTGTCATGTGCTGGTATGCTGCCAGCTTCAGATGGTACAAGCAAATATGGAGTTTTATGCAATGAGAATTTTGTAAGAAGAAAAACTCTGTGCTTTTCATCGTGGACTGAAGGAAAAGCAGCAAAAAAATTACACTTAACTCGCCTGGTTACACTTTGCAATTGATACTGAGGCTAAGAGACCAGACCTGAACAGAACTGAGTTAAAGAGAGAGCCAAATTTAGACTTCATATAAGCCTTATCTGTGACTATTGGAGAAGTGGGAAGAGATAGAGAGTGCTACAGAGGTCCAGTTCTGATCCTTTCACAATGAGGACTTGATTAACACCACAACTTCTTTGGGCTTTAGGAGATACAGGGACTGCAGAATGTTTCCCAAAGAGCTCTTAACTCCATTTAGCTTCCACTGGAGAATGTCTGTCTGTCCCTGCAAGAAAAAATAAATAAGCCAGACATATCTGATTTCTGAGCCAGAGCTGTCATCACGTGAAATGTCATCATTTACTTCCAGTACAAAATAGATGAATTCTCTTAATTTATTGGATACTCAAGCCTGTATTAATTGCTATCTGTTAAGAATTACAGTATTTCAAACCATCTATTAGGAAACTTCAAGATGTTTTATTATTGTTATTATTTGGCAATTAGCTGCTGCAATTATCTTGCTAAACGCTGTTTAAATGGGCTCGCTGTAATCTGAGGATTTCTGCTTTCTGAACGTTCAGGAAGCCAAAATGAAGGATCCTCCCCAAAACCTCTCCTTGATGCTCAGTTGCTGGCAGCTGCCCTGTGGCCAGAGGAGAGCCATTCTGCTTCCCAGCTGCTGTGCTTCTGGCACTGGTGACATGAAGAGATTCTCTTTCTGATAAGACAAAGGCTTTACAAACTCTTGTCATTTTTTGTTTTCTTCATCCTTTTCTTTCCCGTTTAATAGGAGCCCAGTCAGTTCCTACATTGCTGCTGGTGCAAGATGCCTTTGTGTTAAACTCATGAAGGGAAGATCCTCTCTCAGAGAGTTCATAATCTGTACAGACAAGACGGACAAAGAAAGCATTATGCTCTTACTGCCCTCTTCTTAGCAGAAAGCAGGGGGATGAAGTGGCACAGCCAGTTCCCCATGCAGGTCACAATGTGCCTGTGAGATCGCTGCCCTGAATGCCTGACCAGCCAAAATCTGCTTGGCCAATGCCCTGCTCTGCATTCATTTTCAGATGACCCTTAATGCCAAGGCAGCAGAGATGGATTCTCATTGCATGAGATGTACAGCCATAATAATATTTCTTTAATACTTTAATTTTAAGCCCTTGTCTTTTTTTTTTGCTTGTCCTTCCATTAAGTCTGAGACATAGAAAGTTGTTATTTGTCTGGATATCGGGAGGCTGGTTAAATACTATCCATTGCCTTAGGGCTGTGGAATATTTCATCACAGACAGATAAGACCCAATGTCACAGTTCTCAGAAATGTCAGAAAATTAATTATGGACTCGTGCCAACCCCTTTACTCTCTTCCCCATTCTGCTTAATGTCATGTTTAGAGACTTAATTTAGCAAACCATCTCATTAGCTCCAACAGACCAGTAAGAAAAACATTTCTCACCAGGCATACAGGGCTCTGCCCAGTTCATTTTCTACCGAGTGCAAAATAGGCTGATAGGGAGAAGCT